GAGATGCATCGGTTTTTCCGAGATACAGCTTATATTTTTAATATAGAATGTATTTTTTATTTATTAACAAGTGTTGTCAACCTGTTTTTGGCGCATAATTTAATCGACCTACGTAAAGTAAGCCTTAGCAACGGATTTGCGGATGTGTACACTTACAATACAACTCAGTGTATCAGGTGTGCGGATGAAGCTAGTGGAGCGCCCTCAGAAAGCGCGAGAAGCAAAACAAACATTTTATTCCTCACTGAGTTTTAAATCTAAAGTATGGCAACATTATGGATTCTGCAAAAAGGATGGACGACATGACAGGACAGATGCAATTTGCAAAATGTGCCGCGCATCTGTAAAATACGCGGGCAGTACGACTAATCTGAAATCTCACTTGAAGCGGCGCCACGGTGTTGTTGTGAAAGCATTGTGAGAAAAGCATTGCAAGTTTTTTTTTCTATGCGCAAAAGTTTTGTGCGCTCTATGCCAATAACGGATTGAATTGCATTGTTCATCTGCAGGGCCGGAGCAAGCTGAACTGCTGCTCTAGGCAGAGGACGATCACGCCGCCCTCAAACCCAATGTGAAAACGAAAGTGACCGGTTATGAAAATGAAGTGACGTGTCGCGGACCTCTATTCTTCCGCCCTATGCGCGGATATAACTGAGGACGCGCGGGTGTCGCGGACCTCTATTCTGCCACCCTATGCGCGGATATAACTGAGGACGCGCGGGTGTTTCGGACCTCTATTCTTCCGCCCTATGCGCGGATATAACTGAGGACGCGCGGGTGTCGCGGACCTCTATTCTGCCACCCTATGCGCGGATATAACTGAGGACGCGCGGGTGTTTCGGACCTCTATTCTTCCGCCCTATGCGCGGATATAACTGAGGACGCGCGGGTGTCGCGGACCTCTATTCTGCCACCCTATGCGCGGATATAACTGAGGACGCGCGGGTGTCGCGGACCTCTATTCTGCCACCCTATGCGCGGTTATAACTGGGTGTTGCGGACGCCGCCCTCTCTATACTGCCGCACTAGGCGGTTTTAAACACCTCCTCCTGTTAATTTTTATTTAATTATAATAATAATAATATTAATAATAATAATGATAAAAATAATGGGTGTCACGGTGGCACAGTAGGTAGTTTGACCACCTCACAGCAAGAAGATTGCTGGTTTGTTATATTTTTATTAGCCTGTTGTTTACAGTGACAGTGATGTTTCAACGCAGCATAACACTGCTAGTTCACGACCTTAAGTTTTGAATAATCAGTGGCAAAATATAGCTTTGTAAAACTTGTTTTCATAGTTGAAAAGTTAAATCACAATTCTTGTTGTGCAATGCTCAACCTTTATGTTGAAAGAGTGCAAATATATATATTTTAATATATATTGCACTTATCCATTCTGTTTATCTTAAAAAAACTTAAATAATATGTGCTATAGGTTCTAAAATGGCCCTCTACTGTAAACTGACACTCTGGCTCTGAGAGAAGAGCCAGTTTGTAAAAAAAGTCTTGGTTTTGCTTGGTTAATAAATAATCAAACTCATTCAATGGCACAGCATCCTCTTTTACATCATCTCATAAACTTGATTTAATTAGTTAGTGCTGAATTATCGCATCGTATCGTGATATGGGTGTGAATCGTATCGTGTCGCATCGCAATATGTCATAAATGTATCGCTAATATATCGGATCGTATTCTTTGTATCGAGATGCGTATCGGATCGGCATTATAGCTTAGATGCCCAACCCTAATATAT